AGCTTAGGGTGGCATGCAGACAGACATGATGCCGGAGACAGAGTTGAGAGCTCTACATCTTAAACTGCAGGCAGCAGAAGGAGATTGGGTTCCACCCTGGTTTGGGCCTATACTTGAGCATATGAGACCTCAAAATCCACTCCCATGGTGACACATTTCCTCTAACAAGACCTCATCTACTCCAACAAGGCCACACCTACTAATAGTACCACTCCCTATGGGCCATGCAAGTCACATGAGTTTATGGAGCCCTTCCTATTCAAACCACCACAGTCCTCATGCCTTGCTCAGCTTGCTTTCTTACAGAACCCAGGACCACAAGCCCAGGGGTGGTCCCACCAACAACTGGCTGGGTCCTCCCCTTTCAACTCTAATTAAGAAAATGCCATACAGCTGGATCTTTTGAAGGCATTTTCTCAATTGAGGTGCCCTCCTTCCAGATAACTCTAGCTCATGTCAATTTGGCATAAAACTAGTCAGGACAAGCAACAAGAGTTCTTAACCACGAGCCATCTCTCAAGTTCAAAGATGTGTCATTTTTAAAGGGTGTATTCTGGGATTAGCTGTTTCCACCTTGGAAGCACTGGGTGTTGGGCCTTGCCAAACTCTTGCTGCTAGTTGGCTTATTTGTTCGTTACGTGGGTACCCCAAAGATTCCGGGCATCCTGGATCATGGCAGCCTTTATTCTACATTCTGAGCATAAGCCAAAATTAAGTACATTTAAAATGTCCACTAGGTTTCATGTACTAAACTTCTCATTTGGTAAGTTCACTTACCAACACTTTTACATACCTTTGAGTCTAAGTGAGGAAGGGAAAAGAGCAACACAGACTTTCATTCCAGTTTCTCTGAAAAAGAGAATCCTTGGCCAGTGTTTCAGTAGAAGCCCAGATTAAATTACTAAACTATCACGTGACTGATCTGTGGCCTCGCCAAGATGCTCAGCTTTAGAGCCAAATTTGCAACATTCTTCTCCTAGTCCCCTAGGCATCTTCAACTAGTGGTTTCCAGTCTTCTTATTAAAATGATAAAATATCCAGTCAGCACCTAATATTGCTAAGCTGCCTTCTGTCAATTATGCATGCTATTCTTTTTTTTTTTTTTTTTTGGATTTTTCGTAGCTTTTTTGGTTCCTGTCCTGGAACAAGCTGTTGTAGACCAGGCTGGCCTCAAACTCACAGAGATTCGCCTGCCTCTGCCTCCCAAGTGCTGGGATTAAAGGCGTGCGCCACCACCGCCCAACCATGCATGCTGTTCTAAACACAGCCAAGAATAAGAAGTAAAAACAAAACAGGAAGATCAGAAGTTTTCATCTCTGGAAACAAAGGCATCTAGATAGGGTTCTGAAATTGCATCAACAGCTCCACCAAACCTGAGGAGAATCAATACTTACGGAGTACTTTTCCCAGCTCTGTTTTGTGGTCAGTCACTAGACAGGCCAACAATGGAAGAATTGTGTCAGAAAATGAGAATAAAGTCAAGCTGCATAGTTCTGAGAGAGAAGAGCTACACATCTTAGCAGGGGTGCTGTGCTGAAGGAGGTACGAAGAGGGCATTGTATGCCCTAGAACTGGAGTTGCAGACGGTTGTGAGCCATCATATAGGTGCTGGGAATTGGATCCAGGTCCTTGGAAAGAGCAGCCAGTGCTCTTAATAAGTGAGCCTCTGTCTTAATGATTTTAGAATATGGAATTTAAGAACTAAGGCATCTGCTTTGCTTCTGGAAAAACTATTACTATTATTTGCTTTCTTCTCTATTCTTTGGCTCTCAGGCTTGTTGTTAGTACATTCGTTCTTTGTGTGTATTTACTTGGAAGTTGTATTTGAGAAAATTCAGCAAAAACAATTTAAAAATAATCATTATATATTGTATTTGTACCTGATTCAACTGTATCACACCTCATCAGCAAATCTAAGACAAATGGAAAGTAACTTTAAGTACAATGTTAGGAGGCTTATTGAGACATGAAAATGAGAGACATCTGGAGGCAAAACAATAAGAGAAAACAGGAATTGAAGAAGTAGCAGGCTCTGCCTTCTACTTAGGCTCTACATACAAATGTTAATATGCTGTAGATTTGATTACTACTACAGCATCCCTCGTGTATTGATACAATCCAAGAAAAATGGATATAGTTGAAATTTACCCAAGGTGAAATCTATGTTTGAGTCAGCTGACTATCTGGTACAAGAATCTTAAAGTCACCAGTGTGGCAGTGGATGAGGCTCTTAAGGTAAAGTCACAGGAGAAAGTCTACATCCTAGATTAAGGATCACAGTTCGTATGTCAATGCAAACTGTAAGTTTGAAGTTGGAGTCAGAAATAAGAAGTGGCAAAACATTAACACGAGTGCATTAAAATATCCAATGAATATGCTCGATGGGAAGAGATAAGAATTAGAGAAATAAGAAAAAGTAAGCAATCGTCATGCTTAATGCATTCACTCCAGAAGTAATTAGCTAGTGTCCTATTTTTCACATGGTGCTTCATTCTATGAAGATTATATCATTAAATAAAGACAAAAGAGTTATTTGTTACTTTAGACATGCATTCACACTGAATACACTGATATCTCTGTACTGATTGTTATTTTAAAAAAAATCCAGAGGCATCAAAGGTGTACATTTTAAAAAATCCCTCTTTTAGGCTGTATCCTTATTATTTCTACTAGTGTAGATCAGTATATATCTATCTATTCATCCATCCATTCAACCATCTATCCGTCCATCATCCAGCCAGCCAACTATCCATCCATCATTCTTCCATTCATCCTTCCAACCATCGATCCGTCATCCATCCATTCATCCATCCATCATCCATCCATCCAACTATTGATCCATCATTCATCTATCCATCTATCCATACATTCAGTCACCTATCCATCCATCATCCATTCCTGAGTGCCTTTGACCCACCCACTCGTGTGACCTGGGACTGAAGAGGTGGCCGTTGTTACTTCAAATCTCATTGGGACGTCTTGCAGCAGGTGAAGACAGCATTACAGAGCCTCAAGAAAAAAGGACGTGTCTCACGTATTGATCCTTGCCTTCAGTAGTATCCCCTGGCTGAGAGGAGTAGCCGCTCATTTCAGTGATATGAGGAGACTTTCTAGACAGGTTTGGTAGTTTGTGTGTATGTGGTGGGGGTTCCTGTGAATAGTGATCAGGGGTTTTTCTTTCCCTTCTCTTCACTTCCAGTCATGTTATCCAGCATAGCCCAAGCCCTACAAGCCATATCCAGTCTGTTCCAAACATCATTAGAGCTTGGAAGATGGAAGGGATTCTGGTTGTTTCCAAATTGGTTTGCCTTTACTGATGGAGACATTTCGAGGGTCTGTTTTCCATATCAGAGAAGTGTGCTGCACAAAGGTTTGCAGACCAATAATTGATCATAATGCTGTGCATGTGTTGTTGTGGATGGAATAATTATCCAATTAAGGTTTTACTTATGATGTTTATACATATATTATACATATATATATATATATATATATACACATATATGTCTCTGTAAAGCTATGCCATAGTATATATAATACATTTCTTTTCTATATACACATGTATGTACGTGGAATCAAATACACGGCTTCGGTTTCAGGAAAAACAAGAAACACCTTTTATTTATGTGTGGGTTTAATGCTGCCAAAACCCCCAGCTCACTTAGTTACCTTGCCTTCAGTAGTATCCCCTGGCTGAGAGGAGTAGCCACTCATTTCAGTGATATGAGGAGACTTTCTAGACAGGTTTGGTAGTTTGTGTGTATGTGGTGGGGGTTCAAGACTCAGGAGGATTAATGTTTGACTGTTCCTCAGCTATCAAATATCACCTGGTAACCCGTGTCTTTTGCACATGGCTCTGACATCTAATTACATCTTTCCCCTGCTTTTCTCCCCAGCAGAAGGAGCTTATTACACATTCACTTCAAAGCCAATTCTCCCTCCGTCCTTCCTTCTTCCTGTCCTGTCTTTGTTTTCTTTCTGCCATCTTTTAAGATCCTAGGGTCAATGGCCCAAAAGGCATGAATTCATTAGTGAGAGACCAACGTTTTTGGTAGTGATGTCACATGAAAGACTAACTTTTTCTTAATACATTGTGGTATGGGGGACAATACCACCTTTGTAATAAAAGAAAATCCAATATAATGAATTACCAAAATGTAAATAGCAGGGTGAATAATCTCTGTAATAGTATATGATGTGCTGCTTAGCAGGACTGGAATTCTTTACTGCAAAGGAGAGAGGGAGGGGGAGAACCTCTTTCAGCCAATGGCCTTTGAGAGGCTGGATGGACCAGGTTGGGCATGACTTTGGGTACCAAAAACCCTGCGGGAGACCCAGCTCGGTTTCTTTCCCTTGCTGGCCACACCTAGATGTTGGATTCTGTTCCTGTTTTCTCATTGTGATCCGTGAGTTACCTTTCAATAAAGAACACTTTAGTATACGCTATTCGGAGGTAGTGTGGGATCATTTGATTCGCACCCCACATCTGACACGTTCACCCTCGTGTGTGTGAGAGAGTGTTTGCACGCACGTGAGCATGTGTGTGTTCTCCCTCCAGCCCTCTCATCCTCCTTTCACCTAAGCCATGTTGTTGCTGTTTTTTCAAGACAGGGTTTCTCTGTGTAACAGTCCTAGCTGTCTTGGAACTAGCTCTTGTAGACCAGGCTGGCCTTGAACTCACAGAGACCCACCTGCTTCTGCCTCTGCCTCCGGACTGTTGGGATTAAGGGCGTGCACCACCCCTGCCCAGCTACAAGTCATGGTTTTTGCATTAACCCTTGGCAGTATATTAATTATTTCAGCTCACATCTAAAGCTGTCTTTTGTGTGTGTTCATCTCCAAGGGAAAGAAACAAGGCCTCTCTTTCTTTCACATTCTCCTGTTTTCATCCTAAAAGCAAAGCTGCCTATCACCTACATTTGGGGAGAAAGCATCTTTATTGGACTGCAAAGAACATTAAGAGAAAATGAAAATTTGTCCCCTCCACAATCTACCCAGGGTTCTAGGTTTTAGTTACTACTATGCTCTCCTTTAGAAAGAAGCACAACTTCTCTTGGTACCAGCAAACAGGGGTACCACTTTTTTCCTGTTTACACTGTGTTTTGTTCAAGAATGGAGGTCGCTACAGCGTGACTGGAATGAGTTTGAAGGGTGACGGGTGATGAAGAGATCGGGTTTGTGAGAGGCTTTTCCACTGTGTGGCGGCCGCATTCCCAGAATCCAATCACTTACCCTCCATCCTTGGAACACAGCTCTCCAGAGGGTTCTTTTCCTTGGAGCCTTCCTTCCTGTACCTCGTACAGTCAGCAGGTCCTCCAAAGCCACGGTTGCACCTTTTGCATCCCCACAGAGCGCCATGTTTTCACAAATTAAAACGTAGCATCTGTGTCTCTGTGTGTGTCTGTGTGGGCACACCTGCAAATTAATCTCCGTTTGGAAGAGAGGGGGATTGTTTTTAAAGAAAAGGAAAAAGAAACTGGAGAGTTTTGCATTTTTTTTGGTGTTTTTTTTCTTTTTGTATTTATGCAGAGCATTTTAGGGTTTCAGTCTCAACAAAACACTAGTAAAACAAAGAATCTAGTAAAATATTTGTGCATGTACTGCTAAACAATTCTAGCAATTTTATTAAGCAATACCTTTATTATTTTTTTAATATTCTTAACAGACTGGAACAAAACATTTTATTCAAAACAAAATATGCATACTGTACGCATGTCGCAGGGCTAAGCATGATGCAGAGGGTAGAATCTGAACGAAAACAGGTGCCCCGGGGTGTTTAATAGCTCTAAAGTTAACAACTAAATTTTGTTCACTAAGAGGACCTTGTCTATGGATTTCCTTCGTCTCTCAGCCACACAGCAAACTTACCCGAAGTGCACTTCCCAAGTGTAGTTAGAGAATAGGAAGGAATGTGAAGTGTCTTTTTAAAATTATTTGTTTTGTTTGTTTGTTTTGTAAAAACAGCCCTTATTGACTTTTCCTTCCACTGGCCCTACTGTAAACCCATACAAGCCTTTTTAGAAAGCAAATTCATATACACTCAGCAGGTGAAATGTTCCCACAAAGGAAAAAGAAATACAAACAGTGATTGGACTTATTTTTCTCAGCCGCCTAGAGCTTGCTGGAGTGAGGACGCTTCGCACGGTAGTAAAAATGGCTGATCGGTTGATTGTTTTCAAAAGGAGAGTTTCCTCTGTGATAATGCAGCGCTGTATACATTTTATACCTGGAGGAAACTGGAACCCTATGCAGGGCGATACTGGGATAAAATGGTACATATTCTGTATACTAGATCCCTTCCACCACGATAAAGGAGGAACAGAAGTCTGGATTTGTGTTCTTGGTCTCTGCTCCCATCAGTTGGAGGCAAGCGCCCTGTGTTCAAGGAGGGGCTGCTTGCTGGCCGTGAGCCGTGGGCCGTGAACCACCGACCGCTCCTGTCTGCTCCACCAGGAAGAAAGAACTGGGGATGGGCACGGGAGCGACTCGGTTCACGGGAGCGTGTTTCACTCTGTTAGTGTTATTTTATTTTTTCCCCCACATAAAACCTGTGAGCTGCCTGACTCTCTGAATGCACTGTTGGATCATCCAGAGGGACCCTAGGCCCTGGCTCCCTCTGCTAGGGCTTGTGCGAGACACACACCCACCATGCGAGACACAGACAGAAGCAAGCGGATGTTGTCTGCTTGGGGACAGAAGGCGAGGGCCAGCAGGGCCTGCAGGGCGTGGCGTCCATGGGTTGGAAGGAGGCTTAGGGAATTTTTTTATTTTTTGTTTTCTTTTTTTGTCTTTTTTTTGTTGATTTTTAATTCTTTTTTGTTGTTTTTTTTTTATTTGTTTTTGTTTTATGTTTTTTGTTTTTGTTTTTTATTTTTTTGCTACACCGTGAGGTTATAGCGGTCATTCCTCTATTAGAAACTGACAGGACGCAGACAGAAGTATCTGATGGACACACAATGACTAGAAATAGATAGATAGACAGTGGAGAGACTTAAGTTCACCCACAAAGAAATCCTGCAGTAACAAGTGCAGAGAAATGAAATAAAATCAAATAAACGGAAAATAAATTCAAATCGAACCGAAAGAAAAGAAAGAAGAAAAAGAAATAACAACAACAACAACAAAATAAAAACCTCCAAACGTTAAAACACAGTGTATAAAATGGTGTGAGAAACTGAGTCACTGGCAGCCTCTTCGTCGGTAAAAAGCTGCAGCTGTGTCCTTGTTGGGAATCGGGCCCATCTTGTTGAATGTTACCCACAGGTCTTGCGGCAAGTCCGAGGGTAAAGCACCCGGGTGGGTTCAGTTCCCCGGGCAGCAGCGGGTGCACATCCCGGGTGGGTCACCAATGCTCTGTGCACAAAAGTGTGCACCTGTCCAGCCCTGCGCCTTGCGCCGTGAGCTCGCACCCGGTGCGTGCCCCTACTGCGCTCAGTCCTCCCGGGTGGAGTTGTCCTCGAGCGTGGGGAGGCCTCCCAGGCCCAGCCCGGTGGAGTTCTGCGCTGCGGAGGCCGTGAGCACGGTGTGAAGGAGGATGAGGACGAGAACACACAGCTTGAGCCGGGCAGGGCACAGTCTCGTGGCCGAGGACACTGTGAGCGACCTCCTGGCACAGGAGTCTCTTCTCTTCACGGTCCCTTTGGGTGGGGGTGCAGATTGCTCCTCGTTCCTGATGTCACAGCATTCGGGTTCATCATTGGTTAGGAAGGTTTCGTAGAGCCCTGGGGGAGGAAGAGCAGAGAGGTTAGAGGCCAAGGATGTGGAGGAACGGAGGGGTGGGGGGAATGCAGGGGACAGTCTCATCCCAGGTGTCCTTCAGCCTTCAGGATTGTCCTCCCAAAGTGTGGTGAAGTGTACTTTGGGGTTCCCGCGTGGGAACAGGGTGTGCTGGGTGTTGGCAACATTCTCAGATTGACTATCAGAGCTTCTGGTTCCAGGTGGAACCACCTCAGCCACCATTCAACCCTTATCAGGAAGGCAGTCACTAACCTAATCCATGCACCAACACCAACAAGCCCTGCTGAGTGAAAAGGCTAATGGGTCAGATGCCAAGCCCTAAAAGACCTGTTTGCCCAGTTTCCCTCCGTGGACCTCATCCTGTTTGTGACCCTAAGAGACTAAGGGCATCTCCGCATCTAACCGGAAGCAGGTCCCCATTGGCTACACCGTGGATGACTCCAAGTCTTGTTGCTTTAGTAAGTTGGTGTGGACCCCCGCACTCAGAAGTTTCTGGCTCTCCCTCTAGTATTTCCATCTATCCTGCAACCTGCAACTTCTAACCAACTGCTTTGCTCTCCCCCGCTTCTTTTTTCTTCTAGCTGAGTTCTGATCCTTCCTCTGAAAACACACATTGCAATTTAATCCGCATTTTTGAAAATCTTAGACAAGAGAGGTGTCGCAGAATTGACTTTTTTTTTTTTTCACATAAAGTGCTTAGCTCGGTGACTAACAAATATATTGATAATTTTGGCTAATGTTAATCCTAGTGATTAGTCACGGTGTTTCACCGTTTCACCACAGCATTGCGCCCACCTCGTGGAATCCAAGGCATTTTCCTCACGGCTCTCCCAGCTCCATGCCTGGCAGACTCGGGAGCACTCGGTGTGAGCCAGGCTGCCCTCCCTTCCACTGATTTCCTCCATCTCATTTATCCCTCCAGAGGGGACGAGAGGAAATTCCTCGCTTGAGGTCACAGTGGCCATGGCTTACTCTTCAACACGGCCTTTCCCCGCCCCCTTTCAATCACAGTTGCTCAATTTCATGTCAACTTCCACACCCAGCTATCAACCTAAGAGCACGGACTGAACGTCTGTACCTTTACTTCCCCACTTTATATCAGAATACCTCAACAAAGTAACAAAGTTAATGAGCACTGGTTGTATAGGAAACTGTATATAGCACATCTATTCGTTTAACAACAAAGATGCTTTTCAATAGATTAGGCTTCAATACGTGTATAGTGATGCTTACAATAGGGCATTTCTTCTTAGGCATTCAAAGGTAAACTTCACCTTCGCCTAGGAAGAATATGGAAAAAAAAACTGAATTAATGAGATCTGCAGCTCCGACATTTTTATCGTATAATTTCTTTCTTATATCTCAGTGATAGACCAGTCACTTACTGAAGTATACACGGACTGTACCAGATTCAACAATGAAAAGAGGTTATAAAGAGCAACACAAACAAGCCCCCTAAGATGGTTTGACCAGCACTTTAAAACACCAACCATTGAAACATTCTTCCCAATAAGAAAATAAGAAGTTCTCCCTATGTTACTCAGAAGTTGGGTTCTGATGTAAGCTAAAGCCATTATAGACAAAACAGCACAGTTAATGTGGGCCCATAAGCCCTTGTTTGGGATTTCCATACCTCTACTTTCTCTTTTGCCCTCTATCTTGACAATATCCCTGGGAGCCACGTAAACCTTAAAGTTCCAATCACTCCATCGGGCATTTTAGTGAAGGAGAACAGAATTCCTTAAGGAGACGTTCCAAGTGCTTGCTTCTCAAGGGCAACATTGGACATCTTCCAGACCCAGGAAAGGAGTTGCGGACCCAAGCCTTTGCTCCTACAGCTCTCTGCTTTCCCCAGAGCTATCTCTTTATGACCAGCCCTGCAGATTAGCTCTACACACACAGATTCATCTAAAGCAGATGTGCATGGGCCATCCTGGGAAAGACAATGGATGTCCACTGATGGCTCCCACACTTGTGACTTAACCACCACTTGGACAATTGAGAGGCATTCTTTTGTTGTTCGTTTGAGAAGAAAATATATGTGTTAGTAACACATTTAATGAACAAATGCATTAATATTAACACAAGAGTAGGAATTGTGTGTTTTTATGGGGGATCAAGCAGCACTTCAATTTATGTATGTGTTGTACCAGGCTCAGATTAGGTCATTTGTCATTCTTTTATGGAAAATATTTCCAACCTGTTCTTCTAGCTTGTTGTTAGTTGGTAGCCACCGCACTATACAGTTCCATACCAGGATATATTCCCATTTGCAGTTTGGCACCCACTTATCATTTATCCTCCACCTGCACTGGGTGAGCACCGTTCTGCTCACCATGCCGACTCTGAGCCGCACAGGAGCAACAATGCCTGTCTCCGGCACCAGGCTGATTTCAAAGAACATGATCATGTCTGCTTCTATCCACACTGCTGGAATGGCAGGATTTCCTTCCTTGCTTATGGGATGGTGCCCATGTGCACATCTATTCATACACATATTCAAATGTCTCACTCACATTCTCTAGCGAGTCCCTGTTGTTTCTTGGCTGCTGTGAAGAGTGTTCCATCTCATCACAGATGTCTGACTGTGATTGATGGCACTTTGGTTGACAGAACTTTCTGATTTCCAAATACTATTCTTAGGGACTGAGGGGGTTTGTTGTTTCATAAGATGCATGCTCAGCTTTATGAGGCTTTAAGTTTGAGCCCTAACAATCATCTCCAAAAGAACATAAACCTTATTATATGATTATCTTAGATATTATCTCAGCACAAGAAGGCCAGATATCTAGATGAAATCTTTATCCTCCATTATCTCTGACACCTACCATTTGAGATACTTGCATCTAGAAAGTTCAATTTTTGAATAGTTATAAAGACTTCAAAATAGTGGCTGAAAGTTCCAATTGTAAAAGCCTAGAAAGTACTATAAAGAGAAACAATGTGAAATTAAATCTGACTCTACCCCCACTACCATCATCACCATCATTACACCATAATCATAATTATCATATCATCATATCATAATCATCATTAAGACATCATCATCACATCATCACATTATTATCGTGACATCATCATCATAATTATCATATCAGCATCACATCAGCATCACAGCTTAATCATCATCACATGGCTATCATGATATCATCACCATGACATCATCATCATTAAATTATCATAATCACTCTCAGTATCACATCATCATATCACCCATCATCATATCATCATCAAGACATCTTCATCACATCATAATCATCATCAAGACATTATCATCATATCATCACATAGTTATTATGACATCATCAAATTATAATAATCACTATCATCACATTATCATTATATCCTCATCATCACATCACCACCATCATGTCATTATTATCATCACATCATTAATTCGTCATTATCACATTGTCATCATCATCACATCATCATAATTGTGACATCATCACCATATCATCATTGTCATAATCATCACATTATCATCACATCAGTACAACATCATTATGTCATCATCACTACGTTATTATCAATATCATCATCATAAAGGGGGAAAAGATACTACTGAACAATTTACATTTTAATGAGGGTAGAAACACACATAGAATGAATATAATTTGTAGATTTCATTTATAAAGCACTTGAATGAGCTCATGCTTTACATTTTCCTTCTGCATTTGATTTGATAGTGTTTCATATTTTGCATGTTTATTACAAGTAGGAGTAGACAGAGTATGTCTGATAATATGTAGCACAATGGTCATGGGTGTCTACAGGGAAACAGCTTTTGCTTGACAGGGCTGTCGTACAGGTGAGCTCACAGTGGGTGGGACTCAGGTAGGCTCACAGCCGTGGGACCTCCACAGTGTGAAACCACTCTAGATCCCAGCACAGGGGGAGGTGAGGCTGGTGCAGTTCCAGCCCATCTAAGGAGGATTGGCAACTGAGAGTTGCTGGCCTCAGTAGAGCAGCCTGTGAGAGGCTGCCCCTGCTCCCGTGGATGGCCCCATATCCATGCCCGCACTGGTCTCTATCCAAGCTCACTGGGTTTAAAAAAAAACAGCACACAGGAAGTGAGTGAGTCAGGAGTATGGGGCAAACAAAAGGGGAGGTAATTGGAGTGAATTTAATAAAATTCTATCAAATCAAAATACATTATATTCATGTAGGAAATTCTCAAACAATAAAAATTTAAAAAGAACAAAATGGCTAATGTGGTGGAATTTCTAAACTTTATGAATATAATTTCTTAAAAGTATATTTCCGTCTTATTTTTTTGATGATTGGTGCATAGTGGTGGTTTCTGTTGTTGCGATATTTCCATTTAAATTGGCCTATGTTGTAGAAAGTTTTTATTTATGGGATTCAAACTCTAAATTTATCCACATTGTTTCCTTGCTGTTACTGTGTTGTTTCTGTTCTTCTGTCTTGTCCTTGGTGAGACTTGAAGTGCTTCCTTAATTTTCATTGTGTTATTAAAGATGAACTCTAGCCCTTACTGTGTGTTATTCTTTTCATAATGCAGTAATTTCCGATTTGTGTTGTTTTAATATGTTTGATATATTTTAAGAAATACACTTGTCATTCATTCAAACTTCTATTTGTATTAAGTACAAGGGTTTTTCCTGATGAAGTCCGGTCTTCACATGTGTGTCTTGTGTCTTGTCACTGAACCCCTTTATCAAGTGTTAGCATGATCACATGATCTACAGTCATGACTAGCATCTGTTTAGGTAAACTTTTGCCTGGTCAGAAAACTATCATCTGAGGAATATGTAGCTTATAAATGATCCTGATTAGTTTTCTCTATATATTTTATGTATGCGTATATACTTATAAATATTGTAATATGTTGGTCCTCTATGTATTTTTATGTCTTGTGAGCAGCTACAAAAATTCATCCACATTTATGTTTCCCGGGATATTCACTACCAACCAAGAAGACCAGTACTCCGACCATACAACTGTGTTACCTTTGTTGAGG